TAAATAAAACGAAGAAAATTAGTGACATTCATTAGATTCATTTGAATTTTTCAATCTAATTTTGTAAGGGTTTATCAATTACGACGTTCTTTTTTTTTTTTTTTTTTTTTTTTTTTTCTATACTATTCTTCAAAGAATTTACTATAATTATTACTAATGATTAAATTAGAACTAGAAAGAGGAAGATTAAAAAAAAAAAAAAAAAAAAAAAAAAAAAAAAAAAAAAAAAAAAAAAAAAAAAAAAAAAAAAAAAAAAAAAAAAAAAAAAAAAAAAAAAGTAAAATCGAGATGATAATAATAAAATAAACATTGGATTAAAATTTAACAGGTGACATTTGATTTAATTTCGATGAACTTAAATGCATCCTCTTGTCCGTTCAATAAAATCTCATACACGAAGAAATCGATTTTTCACAAAACGTATAAAAATAAAACGGATCTCTGAAGATTCAATTGAATTCTAACTAATTCCGAGCACTCATTGCCTCATATTTTCGAAAATTAAAATCTATATATATATATATATATATATATATGTAAAATAGAATTAAATGGAAACAATTAAAAAAATTAATCTCGATCGTATATAAAAAAAAAAAAAAAAAAAAAAAAAAAATAATAATAATAATAATAATAATAAAAATGCAAAGAATAAAAATAACGATATTAAAATTAAAGAAAAAAAAGGGAAATTGAAAAAAAAAAAACAAAAAAGAAAAAAGTAAAAAAATTAATCTGGATCGTATATATATATATATATACATAAAAAAAAATATTGATAAGAATAATAATAATAATAATAATAATAATAATGCAAAGAATAAAAATAACGTTATTAAAAGAAAAGGAAAAAGAAAAAAAAAGGAAAATTGAAAAACAAAACAAAAAAATAACAAACAAAAAAAAAAAAGAAAAAAGAAAGAACACGTAGGCAAATATTTGTCAATTTCTTTAACTCTTGAATAAATCAGTCCGATCCGGTACGACCTTGTAACCGTGCCAAACAAGGTCGGATTTGAACCGGCCATCGAAGGAACTGTAATAAAGAAGTAGGTAAAAAAAGTTTCGAGAGTGAGATAGAAAGGAAAAAAAGAAAAAGAAAAAGCAAAGGAAAAAGAAAAAGAGATAGAGAGATAGATGGATATAGATAAAGATAGAGATAGAGATAGAGATAGAGATAGATAGAAAGAGACAGATCGAATAAAGTAAGTAATAATATAGCCATTGACTATATCGATAGTACTCTCGATCCCATATAATTTCTTCTAGCGAAAACGGAGATAGAATTCGAAGCAAGGTTGCAACGGTCGATCGACGCAATCCGAAAAAAAAAAAAATAAATAAAAAGAAAATTGATAGAAACGAAAAGTATGAGAAAGAAAGAAAGAAAGAAAGAAAAGAAAGGAAGGAAGGAAGAAAGATAGACAGATAGATAAATGAATGGATGGATGGATGGATGGATGGATATATAGGTAGAAAGAAAGAGAAAGAGAGAGAAAGAGAGAGAGAGAGAGACACAGTTACTTTTGCGTTACGTAAAACGTAGCGATCCAAAAGCCGTACCGTTTTAATACTTAGAACCATTTCATTATAAACGAGACTCTCAGCTTTCCTCCGTTCATGTTACTTTCAATCTTGTCCATGCAAGAAAGAGAAAGAGAGAGATAAAGAGGTGGGAGGGAGGAAACAGAGAGAAAGAGAGAGGAAATCTCGTTCGGGAAAATGAAATTAAATTTGAAACCGTACGAGGAAAAAAAGAGAGGGAAAAAAAAAATATATATATATGTATATACATATATATATATATATATATATATATATATATATATCAAACTCCGTATATAGATTTATATACGAGGTGTACAAGAAATTTCTAAACGTTCGCAAAACTTTCAAGACGATCTTAAAAATCGATTGCTCCTATCTATTTTCTTTTTTTTTTTCTTTTTCTTTTTCTTTCAATTTCTCTTCTGTTTCTTTTTTTTTTCGGATTTCAAAATGAAAGTGGAGAAAGAGAAAAAAAGAAAGAAAAAGAAGAAACGAACGAACAAAAATCTTAATCCTAAAGAAAGTTTAATAATTTTTTATGGTCGAAAAAAAAAAAAAAAAAAAAAAAAAATCGCTTCCAGGCATATTTCTTCAGGTACACTTCCTTGTATAACATATACACGATATACACACACGGAGACATACAGATACATATATATATATATATAGAGAGAGAGAGAGGGAGAGAGAGAGAGAGACAGAGATAAGAGATCGAGAAGGAAAGAGAAAAAAAGAAGAAGAAAAAGAAGAAGAAGAAGAAGAAGAAGAAGGGGAAACAAGGGAAACACCGGGGGTGTGGTAGGGATAGGGGAAAGGGTAGAAAAAAAAAGCAAAAAGAAAAAGAGAGATAGAGAGAAAGAGAGAGGGAGAGAGGGAAAAAAAAAGAAAGAAGAAAAACGAGGGTACAAAACGAAGCGTGTACGTCGTCGTTGGAAATGCACCCTCTATCGCG